CCCCAAAACCCCAAAACCCCAAAACCCCATATGAGAGAATCATTAACAAAGGAAAGAGTAACAAAAAGCCGATTAGAATAAATCCTTAAATTTATTTATTAATATCTTTAAGAAGACATATCTATGTTGTCGGAATAAGACAGAAGAGCATACGAATCTTACATTTTAGCATCCTCAGACGAGGATAGACAAGAAGCAATCAAGAAACTCATCCCAGGGTCGCATCTGCACTATCACTTGTACTTTGTGGACAGAATGAAAACTGTCGGTTCCAAGTTGAGTGAGGAGGATCAGACCATGTTTGAGCAGTTCAGGAATAAATACCAACATGAGACCTTGTTCAAGCAGATTGAGATACGCCTTAAACTTTTAGAATACGACGATGCAGCTGATGAGGAGCAGCGCAAAAAGGTTGTCCAGGATTTGGCTTCAGCAAAGTTCCTCAGTCTCTACTTTAACTTTCAGAAGCCAGATGACATCCAGAGACATGAGGGCGAATCCTCCAGTTCTCAAGCTGCTGAGGAGTCTCATCAGGATGATGAGGAGAGTGCTGGAGAAGCAAGTGAGCCAGAAGATAAGTCATATGGCAGTGAAGTAGGTGATGAGGAAGTGGAGTAGGAATCAAACTAGCGCAATCAAAATAATATCGATGTCGACTTAGACTTAGACTCTTATGGAGATGAAATAAATGCTGCACCTGAATAGTTTATTGATGTAGCTTTTCCAAGAAATAGAGCAGCCAGAACTCGAAATTAGATTGACAATAGAGTATAACAAGAAAGAAGAACAAGAACGAAAAAGAATGAATTCGACTATGAAAGACATTTTGGTAAGGAAAAGATAAAGAAGATGTTTAAAGCTAACAAGCTCAAATAGAAAGATTCCTCAGAAAAACTAAGAAACCTTCCCGAAGGCTGGGAGCACAAGCTAGATTTTACCCAGTACCATCACAAATCAGTTGCTTTTTGGGCTTTCTGCAATTCAAGTAGGATAAGTGATATCCAGAACGACTCATTCTTTGAGTCACTGAAGGCATTTTTTAATGAAAGATACGAGTAAAAGAAGACTTTCTTACTTGATCATAATTTTTTGCGTTTTGGACTTACTTTGCAATAGTTAGATAGACTTGGTGCTCTTCACCCTAAGATCAAGGAGGATAAGCACTTCATTGGATCTTATTTCTAGAAACAGTTCCATGATGAGCTGTCTAGTGAAAACCAAGAAGCCATGTCGAACGATGAGAAGCGAGCCAATCTGCTTCAGCTTTACAACTATACTAAGAGTAAGAACATGCCATAGAGTTTGCAGTCACAGCTTCTCAGTGATGCCCTTGACCTTGGTATTAAGCTGAACATCTATGATGAGGACTTATTCAGAGATTATTTAAAGATACCAACTAACGTTCAGGCTAATGTTTTTAAAGAAAAGAAGAAAGCTGTCTTTGATGATGTATGGAACACGTATCTCTTCAATGTTCAGAGCTAGAATAGCAGAGAGGGTAAACAATCGACCTAACAGTCTTAATTCATAAACAAATACCTAGAGCATTTCTGTCAGGAAAAGGGCAGTCTTGAGAGTTTCAAAGACGAATTCGATATCAAATTTCTCAAGACCATTGAGGAGAGAATAAAGATATACAACTCTAATGATATGACTGACTTAAAAGTAGACCTTAAGAAATATTAAAGTATTGCCTCTGAAGTGGTGATTAGATTTGTTGAATCCAATAAGGAGACCTTTGCTGTTGAAGAGGAAGTCAATCTATCTGTAGAGCTTAAGAATGTTCAGACTCTTTATGTTAAAATCTTTGAGTTCAACACCGAAACTTACTATAAAAAGACCTTGTAGCCTTTCAATTCAGGAGTCAACCTTGATGGTTTAATTGCCAGCATTGAGAAACAATGTGAATACAGCCACTCGCCCAACAAGAAGTTTGTGGAATCCTTTGCCTTCCCAGAACTAACTGGGAAAATTGGTCTGTTCATAGTGGAATTCATTGGTAATGGCATGAGCTGCAGAGCTGTGATTAAAAAGGGTTCACTGTCACTTATTCATAAGCCAACCGTCGCAGGTCATATGGTATATATATTGGATGAGAAAAAGCAGATATGCAATGGTCCTAAGACAGGCATATACTTTGATGGCTAGTACTTCAAGGCTAACGAAGAGCAAGGCGGAAAGATCTTTATTTCCTATGGAAAGAGTGCGCTAGAGAGTAAGGCTATTGTGATGAATAACGATTTCGCCTAGCTTTGTGATTTCTAACGAGAGACTGAATAATATGAATTCAATGCTTGGATGCATCTATGCAAGGAAAGTGTACTTATTGGAAATAAAGCCTAGATCATTATCAGACCAACACTTTTAATCAATGGACGACAAGCTCCACTAAAGATCTTAAAGAATACTAAGATAGTCCTCACCACATAAAATTACATTGACAATATCCCAACTACTAAAAATTTCGATGGGATGACCTTCACCGAGAACAAAGAGCTAGTGATTGACTTCCAAGTGCCAGCTTATCTGTCTACAATCAGTGTTCAAATCACTACTGAATTGTACAACGTGACTCTCCAGCAGAATCAAAGTTTCTCAGCCGCAGAGACTTTCACTATTCAGACTCATCAGTATGACAAGAACATGATCGACGCTTACTTGCGCAAGGAAAACGGTGAGTACTTTATCTACGTGCTGGGCAAGAACGGAGAGCCCAAGCCAAAGGTCTCAGTTAACTTAATGATGATGTCATTAGTATTAATGAAGAGAGGCGAAAGAAATTTCACTTTAATAACAGATGCCAACGGAGTCATTAAACTTGGCCATCTTAAGAAAATTATGTTAATTGAGATGAGCATCAGTGCATATGGCATCACCAAGATGATATTTATTAATAACTTGACTTAGAACCTCACTTATCCCTCTAGAGTTGACACAGTTGAAGGTGAAGACTTGGAGTTCCCAGTATTGTTTAAGAAAAAGGCGAGAAAGAACTTCTCACTACTCAAAAGAAGTGAATGCACTAGCATACTGGAAGATTATTTTGATAAAACAGAATTCATTTCGTAAAATGGAGAAAAAGATTACAATCTCATAAAGTTAAAAAACTTACCTGATGGATAGTATGTTCTGAATCTCAAAGACATAAAGAAGGATATTCTAATCCTTGTTCACAAGGGGCAGTACTGGGATGACGATAATTTCATTTTAAAGAGGAATTGCATTTTTGAGAATGAAGGTTCTCAAAAGCCAGTGAAGATTGCTAAAGTTCTAGGTACTTGACTTTTAACATATAAACTTATAAGTTAATCTTAATTTCATAAATATAGTTGAGGAAGGGAACAATGATAAAAGCAATATCACAGTTAAACTTGAAGATCACACAGATGATGCTAGAGTTCATATCATTGCTTAATAATTTGAGAACAGTATCCCACACCTCCCAGTAAGTCCGATTAAAATGTAATAGTCTTATAGTATCTAAGTATAATAAAGTCCCAATATGATAAGTTATAATCTAAGACTGTGTTCCCCTTCGCTTAATGGAAAAACATCTTTATGAGCAATAGAGAGCTATCCGATGAATTCAGATATGTATTCGACAGGAAGTTCGCTTAGAGATACCAGGGTAATACACTTGAGAGACCCAGGTTGGTTCTTAAGAGAGCATTTATTTAAGCAACTTAGATTGACCAAGCTCAGATGAAACAAGGGACTCAGTTCGAGTAGATTAAGGAATAGCCAAAATTAATGGTCTAAAATATTGCTCCAAGAGCATATAAAATGAAATAATTGAAGCCAATGAATTAGTCGGCCTAAATAGATTCTATTAGAAATAGAAGAAGTTCAATATAGTAGGACAATTACGATGATGAAGATGACGAAGCTGAAGAAGATGAAGATGAAAGTTACTATAATGAGCTATATGGATCAGATTAGGAAATGAATTTCAATAAATTGCTTGAAGGCCTTAATGAGCTGAAGCAAGAGGAGGGAAAAATCTCAGAATTCTAGAATTTCCTTAAAAACGGAGCACTAACTGATTTCAATTTGAAACCAGACAGTAACGGAGAGATTAAGATTTCAAGAAATCTCTTACCTTTTACACAGTTACACATTTTAGTAATTGATAAAAATTCAGTTGCTTAGAAACAACTAGACCTTGCTTTGAATTAAATCTAGAAAAGAGATCTCTCTCTCAACTAGCCATTAGATACCAGTAAGGGTTATACTGAAAGCAGAGCTACACTAAGTATTATGAAGGACGAAACTCATTTTATAGAGGATATCACTTCAACTGAGATCTAACTCATAGATAGCATTCAAAAGGTCAAGGGAGTTTATGAAGTCCTTATGAAGTAATTTGGAACCTAGAATCAAGATCCCTATAAGGAGTTGCTGCCAATCTTCATCGGTTGGCCCAAGTATAGTCTGGAAGATAAAAATAAGCAGTTTAACAAATTGTTCTGCCATGAATTGAATCTTTTTATCTACTTCAGAGATTAAGCTTACTTCAACTCCATTGTGAAGCCATATCTATCAAACAAAATGGAGAAGACATTTGTGGATTTTTATTTATTAGGACAGTATAACAAAATCACCAACTATCAATCAATTAACTGTAAGTTTAATCCAATAATCAATCATTACTTTAGAACTTGCTAAGCTCAACTCATTGGAAAGATGTCTATTAGTAGATACCTTAATTAAAGTAGGACAGAAGGAGCAAGCAATCAAACTGGCGAAGCATTTAGAAGAGAAGAATGCAGCTGAGGAGTATGTAGATCAAATTTAAAAGGATAACCATTTCGATACTGTACTCAACATGAATATGCTAAAATCTGGGGAAAGTGATTTGGGAAGTCTATCTACAACTTCAAATAACTTGCTTTATGCAACATCTTCATTCTCGATGCCACCTCCACCACCAGGAGGCCCTCCATTGATGGCAATGACTAGAAGTGCAGCTCCCCAAATGGCAATGATGCGAAATTAAATATCATTTCAAAATGAATGTTTACATGACGATATAAACTTTGAGGAGGATGAAGCTTATGACCTTTAAATGGAATAAGAAAGAAAATATGATAAGAAAGAAGTAGCATAGAAGAGATCAAGGAAAGTAATGGATAAGATGGATGATGATATCCTCCAGGAGAGAGAATCTAAGATCAGAAGCAACAAATTAGCCTTTTAGGAGGTGCAACAGACAAGTGAATATATGGAAACTCACTACTATAATCAGAAAAGTCTAGCTGAGTCTAAATAATACATGACCATGAACCTATTCTGGGCAGATTATGCCAACTATTTGGCAAATAGAGTCGACGAGAGCAAGCCATTCCTTACTGCTAATTTCATTAGATGCATTAAAGATTGCAGATCTGCACTAATTAGCTTAGCTATACTTGGTCTGGCATTCGAAGATGCTACTCATACATATAAAACTAATGAGGGTAGAGGACTCGAAATAACAGCAAATAGTCATATTATTCTGTTTAAGAAGGAAGTAAGAGAAGCACCTCTTGAGCTTTCAAATGATATCTTGGTGACTCATAGATACGTTTTATCAGCTGAAATTGGATTTAATACTGGCACAATGCCTGAAGAGTTCTTAACGAACAAGGCATATTCTTGTGAAGTCATAATGACTAATGTGTCCCCACTTTAGAAGAACTTCTCTTTACTCTATCAGATTCCTCAGGGCTCTTTACCACTGGAAATGACTAAGTATATGAAATCTATTCCATAAAACTTAGCATCATACACCACTACGAAACTCTTCTTCCACTTCTACTTCCCAAAAGAGGGTAGCTTTGTGCACTTCCCTTCAAACATTTCTCAAGAAGGAAAGATCATAGCCAGAGCAGACACTAACACTCTAAGAGTTGTAGACTTCTTATCAGTCAAAAAGAAGGAGACTTTCAAAGATATTGTTCAGACTGGTACAAAAGAAGATATACTTGAGTTCCTTAAGACAAAGAACTTGATAAAGTGTGAGAATGGCTTTAGCTGGAATTATCTCACTTGGATGTTGAAAGATAAGCCATTCTATGAAAAAGTAATCCAAATTATTAGGGATAGATACATTTACAATCGCGATGTTTGGAGTTTTGCTTTTTATCATTGCTCTAATGAAGAAATCATGAGGGAATTCATATTAACTGATAATTCTTATTAGATATCGGCCTATGTAGGTTCTTACTTCAGATCTAAGCTATTTGATAGAGATCCAGAGGAAAATGATTTAAAGCATTTAGACTATTACCCTATGTTAAATGCTAGAGCTCACATTGTTGGAGACATTCAGCAATGGTCTCTAAATAGAAATTTAAAAGAGACTTACTCATAATTCCTTCAGACAAGCATTCTATTGCCTGGTCTCGGCGTTTAAGAGAAGATGATACTGATCTATAACCTACAGCTTCAAGATAGAATCAATGAAGCGATTAAGTTGTTTGAAACCATTGACATGGACAAGGAGTCGTAAGAGGGAGGACTTGGAGAGACACTAAGAATTCAATATGACTATTTGAGAGCATACTTTGACTTCTTCAATGGCGAGTCTGAAAGTTTCAAAGTCGCAAGAACAATAGTTAGAAAATATGAGGACTATCCGGTTGCTTCATGGAGAATATTGTTCCTAGAAATTTTAGACTAGCTTAATGAATATGATGGCGAGGAAGAAGAGCCAATAGAAGTAGATGCCGAAAATTAAACAGAGGAGCTTAAGAGATAAAAATACAAATAATAAATCAACAAGGAGCCAAGAATTGAAGTTGAAGTAAACTCCTCATCTTAGTAAATTTAGATTGATGTAGCCAACTTTAAAGCCCTTGCTATTAAGTTCTATATCATTGATGCTGAGATCCTTTTCTCTAGAACTCCATTCCTTAAAGAAAACACTGAAGAGTTCTCATACGTAAAGCCATGCCACGTGATTGAAAGAGACCTTAACAATGTGGATCTTAACTCGTCAATAGATACTGTTACGTACCTCTAAAGACCATAAAAGTTTGAGGTAGATATCCCATATCATCTTAAGCATCAAAACATGGTCATTGAGATCAGTGGTGAAGGTAAATAGATCTTTAGAACTTACTACCCCACTCAAATCAAAGTTAATATCCTTGAGTCGTATGGAGAACTCAAGGTAACTGATAACAACGGTGCCGCCTTGTCCAAGGTGTATGTTAAAGTGTTCTACCAACCTTCAAATAACTTGACTGGCTAACCAAAGTTCTTCAAGGATGGTTATACTGACATCAGAGGCAAGTTCGAATATGCTCAGTCTAGTGGCAGCAAACTCAGTGAAGTGAAGAAGTTTGCTATCTTTGTCATGAGTGATACTCTAGGTTCAATCATCAAAGAATGCGATCCTCCAAAGCAAGATCCTAACTCAGGCACAGCTGGTGGCATTGAGATTAACCAGCTTAATCAGAGAAAGTAGGAAAGAATTTTATCCAAGGTAGCCTATTCCAAGGCCAATTACTCGAAGAAGAAATGAAGATATAGTTGAGAAATTTGATTTCACTTATTTTATTTTATGCAATTATTTTTTAATCAAATACAAAATCATACTTTTGGGGTTTTGGGGTTTTGGGG